GTAAAACTTCCCTTGATTTTTGACCTTGAAGCTTTATATATGTTTTAAACTCCCTCTGTATGTTAAACTATGTAACATTCAATGTGGTTTTAAATTTATTAATAAAATAATTTTCATAAAATTACAGAGAGAGTTTAAAAAAGAGAAAAGTTTAAAGTTCGAGAAAGCTTTATTGTAGAAACTGAAGGGTATCCTGGATGACAGGAAACTGGTATTTTATGCTTTTATTTATTTCAAATTAACAGTAACAAATAAAGTTTTTTTTAATATTTTTAAAGTCATTTTAATCTTGTTTCATTTTTATTAATCACTTCCTTCAGCAAAATATATTTGTTTCCTTGTACTAAAGTGCTTATAGCAGTAAAAAACAGAAAGACAGTCTGAGAAATGGGAGTATCTAAAGAATTCATGAGTATTTTAATAGTTCCGATGGAAGTGTCTAACCCAAGAGATCAGTGGAGTGCAGAGAAAGGTTGAAGTTAGTCTGGTGAGATAATCTTCACCACCACAGATTCTCAGCAATAACCAAGATCCTAAAACTGAACATAGTACACAAAATCCTGGCTAACAATATTCAACAACATTTGAGAAACCCAAAATTTTGATTCATTAATTTAATCTTAGCTTTGAATAATTGATTAAGTGACACTAACTCAGCTCTAAGCAATACATACTTCTTGTTACCATTCACAAATTTGCCATAAAATAAATAAATAATTAAGGACCTTACTTACATTGCAAGAAACACACAGAGAATCAGCGGTCCCCACAAATCCCCTACACAAACAAAAGACGAACAATAAAAGTTTAATAATGAAACGATCAAGAGTTTGATAAGGTAAAGGTATTTTATTCAACTCAGTTGTTCAGATTAACTTGTTTTTTAACCTTTCATTAGTTTTCCTCAGATAAACAGACAACTATGGGTTTGTTAATTCACTATGAAATATTCTCAGTCAGCTTTAACCAAAACAAGGGGTATCACAATCAGCTTTGTAATGTACAAAATAAGTGTCACAATAACCAAAACAAGGGTATCACAATCAGCTTTGTAATGTACAAAACAAGTGTCACAATAACCAAAACAACCGTGTCACAATCAGCTGTATAATGTACCAAAACAACCTTGTCACAATCAGCTTTGTAAGGTACCAAACAAGTGTCACAATAACCAAAACAACTGTGTCACAATCAGCTGTATAATGTACCAAACAAGTGTCACAATCAGCTGTATAATGTACCAAACAAGTGTCACAATAACCAAAACAACTGTGTCACAATCAGCTGTATAATGTACCAAAACAACCTTGTCACAATCAGCTTTGTAATGTACCAAACAAGTGTCACAATAACCAAAACAACTGTGTCACAATCAGCTTTGTAATGTACAAAATAAGTGTCACAATAACCAAAACAAGGGTATCACAATCAGCTTTGTAATGTACAAAACAAGTGTCACAATAACCAAAACAACTGTGTCACAATCAGCTGTATAATGTACCAAAACAACCTTGTCACAATCAGCTTTGTAATGTACCAAACAAGTGTCACAATAACCAAAACAACTGTGTCACAATCAGCTGTATAATGTACCAAACAAGTGTCACAATCAGCTGTATAATGTACCAAAACAACTGTGTCACAATCAGCTGTATAATGTACCAAAACAACTGTGTCACAATCAGCTGTATAATGTACCAAACAAGTGTCACAATCAGCTATATAATGTACCAAAACAACTGTGTCACAATCAGCTGTATAATGTACCAAAACACAATCAGCTGTATAATGTACCAAAACAAGGGTATCACAATCAACTGTATAATGTACAAAACAACTGTGTCACAATCAGCTGAATAATGTACCAAACAAGTGTCACAATCAGCTGTATAATGTACCAAACAAGTGTCACAATCAGCTGTATAATGTACCAAAACAACTATGTCACAATCAGCTGTATAATGTACAAAACAAGGGTGTCACAATCAGCTGTATAATGTACCAAAACAAGGGTATCACAATCAGCTGTATAATGTACCAAAACAAGGGTATCACAATCAGCTGTATAATGTACCAAAACAACTGTGTCACAATCAGCTGTATAATGTACCAAACAAGTGTCACAATCAGCTGTATAATATATAACAGCTACTTACCACCTATTTCTGTTGTTTTCTATTTTATATATATAACAGCTACTTACCACCTATTTATGTTGTTTTCTATTTTATATATATATAACACCTACTTACACCTATTTATGTTTTCTATTTTATATATATAACAGCTACTTACCACCTATTTATGTTGTTTTCTATTTTATATATATAACAGCTACTTACCACCTATTTATGTTGTTTTCTATTTTATATATATAACAGCTACTTACCACCTATTTATGTTTTCTATTTTATATATATAACAGCTACTTACTACCTATTTATGTTTTATATTTTATACATATAACAGCTACTTACCACCTATTTATGTTTTCTATTTTATATATATAACACCTACTTACCACCTATTTACGTTGTTTTGTATTTATTGTATATATATAACAGCATCTTACATACCGTACATTTGTTCCAGCCATTCTATCATATTATTGTATGACCAGTGACAACTGATTAACATAAAGTAAAAAGTCTCTGATGGATGAGAAAGGGTTAAACATGTAATTAAGAGTTTTTAATATAAACTTACAGTCTTTCAACAAGGCTGCCTTCTGCTTTGGATATAAGACATGGAAGAACTTTGTACCCACCGCACGTAGGTCTCTCATCTGTACAGATAACAATTAACAACACTAATAAGATAACTGTCTTTACACTAGAAAAACACTCTACAGTAATGTTCATATTTGACTCGTGGCTTTTGAGAGAAGCAGGAGACTAGTAAGAAGTTTTTAATGTTACATTTAGTTTGAAAACACAGTTAGTGGTTACAATATTGTATTTTCTATACTATTGTTTTATCCCTACTCACATCGTGCTTTCCTGAATTATCTAGTCTAAACAGTAGTGGGCTATTAATTTAAAACTTCTTGTTTAGTGCTAGCCTCACACTTTTATTTTTATCATCAACATTTTTGCAATTTCTGCAAACTCTGTTTGATATTTCTGTGAATCTACATTGTCATTTATAAAGCAGCTTTGAACATTTAATTCTAAAATACAAGTATACCAGTCAAAAACTATTAATATCAATAGAACAGAAACAAAACAATTTAATTTAAAAAGATATATAATCTCCACATTTTAAGTAAATATTAAAATTTACAATTACAGAAATTTCCTAACCTACATATCAAAAACAATGACTTCATTTATATCTTTATTTTTAATGCCCATTAAAATGATTTGTATTCCATTACACTCTTACTTCTGAGACATACAGATTGTCTCTTATGTAAAGAAATTCAATTGTCAGTTATACCTTTGTAACTATTACAATATTAGTAAATTTAAATCAAAAAGTTGTGTAAAGTTAAGGAAACTTTTTACATTACTTGTAAATATTAATAAGATATAAATACGGAAACAGTTTCAGAAAAGTCTCCAAATGTTAAACTTGTATTTGTACAAAATTCTGATATTTATACAAGAGGATTACTACTTTTCTACTCTTGTATCAAAAACTACTTTAATTTTCTGTTGCCTCTCTGGTTACTAGTAACAAGAATCAAGTTTAACATTTATAATCAGCCAGTTCTAAAGGACTAATAACTGATATAATCATAGCAAAGCTGTAAGGATCGTTGGTATTGTAAAGTTAATCACTCAAATTACTGAGGAGGTTAGGGGTACATCATTAGAAACACATAAATCATGATCAGTGGTTTGTTCTTGACCTTACTTTTAATTCAACAAAATGTAATTCACCGGTTATGAGACAGCAGTTACCTAACCCAAACACTAACACTAAAGGTCTGATTGCACTATTTGAACTTTCCTAGTTAGAGCCTGTTTATTCCAGCTTTATAATGACAGAGCAGCAAGTTGCCTACTGTACAATGCTGACAACATTGTATTAGTTGTCCTACACAAATATCTACAGATGACGACTACAGAGTCCCATAAATAATAAGTGTAACTTTAAATGAAAATCCCAGAGTTTTTATGTTATCATTGATCTTTTGTGAATGCAACTGAATAACATAAATTAATAAATAAAAATGCTGCTTAACACATTTTATACAGTTCTTGAAAAATAAAACGACCCCACTAAAAATTATGAATTAAGTCAATTATGATAGATCTATAAACTAACGTAAATATATAGTTAGAAATAATTGATTTGTCATTAACAATGGTCATTCTTAGGAAGAGAAACTGACTAATTAATACTATTAATCGCTGGTGTAACACTACCTATAACGATAAGGAAATACAACACTAGACTACTTACAATGGTATCTTTTACAGGTTCATCTAAAGTATTGAATTCATTTTCTATTCCTTGAGAAGAAATAGGTGAAGCTATTTCTCCATGTAAGTTTGGATCAGATTCTTGGTACGAAGGAATTTCGTCCTCTACTTCATCTTGAAGTTTCTGTTTGAAAACGTGAGAAGTTAGTACAATTCCACAATGGATGAACTCAAATATACCACATTTGCAAATGTAAAGTCTAGGCCAAACCAGATTAGTGACAATTACACCTATTTGAACAGTACTATGCACTGTGGCTTATTCATTTGTAATTTTAAAGAATTACTTAGAAGATTTAATTGAATAGTTGGTTTTATATCACAAATTAAAGTTACTTAAGTGCAAAAACTTCCTTATAGGAATTTTAATATTTGTGATCTAAACTCTAGCTAAAATTCTTTCAGTAGAAATTCTTTCCGAGGAACTTTAGCGATACAAGTCCTTTCTTGATTAACCCAGTTTATTCTTTCTCAATACAAATTTTTAGTACACAGTAATTTCACAATCAGTACATTTCTCGTCACTTTAAACTTAACTACTTTTATAATACACGCTATAAATCACAGCGATTCACAATCTCGAAAACACATACACACTAGCTCGAAACAGAATCGTAAGTAACCCGAAACTCTCTTCATTCCATTCTGCAGGCTTTCACTGCCAGGCTTATATACTAAAGAAGAGGCATCTAGAATATATTCGGGCCTCCTCGATCATTCGAGAAATTCATCACGTGTTACCAGCATCATGTGACTTCCGCTGTCGTAACATTGCCTCTTCCTTAGTATTGTTCAT